GGAGGATTGAGGAGGAGGAGGAGGATTAGGTGAACAAGGGGAAACGGATGATGGAGCATTACTATTCACAGCAGTACAATCACTTAAGACGACCACTGCTTCAAGATTTGGTAGATGGGAAGGGATGGAGGTGATGGGATAACCGTTAGGTCTCGGAGGAGAAGGTGGAACGTCATCCTCGACGGGATCCAGGTCGGTAAGGATGGGTGTGGGTACTCTAATTGAACAAGCAGGGGTGGAGGTAAGGGAGATGTGGGGATTGACTCGTGGAGGAGAGGGATTAACTGATTGGGATGGGCCCATGGTTGTTTGAGGGGAAGAAATAACACGAACACTAACACCTTGGTCATCACCGTTAGGTAACAAAGACGTATTACTGGACTGAACAGGACTGGACATATTACTTGACATGGATAAGGACGCTTCACGTAATAACCTGATCTACGACTACGCCTGGATGGGGTGATGGTGGTGTTGTTGGCTGATATTTCGAGGTCAACATATGACATCACAGGGGTAGAAGTCAGAGGATACGGATCATCTTTCCCAATATGATGGGTACGTTGGAGATGAACGCCAGCGCCACGGTTATTGGTAAAAGTACGATCACATAATGAACATTTTCCAGAGACGTTTAGGGAAATTCCCTTATGCACATTGAGATATTGCCGTTTAAAATTCGGGAAAGAACCAATAATACTGTCACATAAACAACAATAATACAACTTCCCATCGGGGAGAAGTCTGACGATATTCACCAATTTAATATGGTCAGGAACAGCGGTGTGATGCATTTTGGATCGGTGGATGCCCAGGTGACCCTGAGTGGTGGTTATAAAGCTACAATCCGTACATTTAACAAATGGAGATTGGGAATCTTGGGTGGACATAATAGCGAATGACAGTACAAATATAATACAGGAACTCCAAATTAAACGAGAGAACAGATATAATTACGAACGCAATCGTATATTAACGCCATATGATACAGAGCGCTAGACAGTAACAGTTTACGGGGATTCCCCAAATATTATATAGCACTTGAGAATCCGAATACTAATTAACCGGCAAATGACCGTTGGAAAAAACAACAAATAGCAGTAGTTTAAATTCTATACAGCGTATCGGCGTAAAACTTGCAGGGGATTTGTAAAACCAAACTAACCACACGTGTGCCAAGTTTCAGCGATATAACTTGAATAAATCCAAAGTTATGAGCAAATACGGAAACTCCAGTAATAAATAGACAATATTACTAATACAATGACAGTACGCGACAAACTCCAAAATACGAATAACTCACAAAATAATCCACATAACGAGACAAAATGTATATCAAAACACTCCAAATGACACGACAAGTACAGAAATAACAGTGATATAAACCAGTAACGAACGATAAACGAGGAATACACGGGCGAAAATTGGAAATAATAGTAAATTCCAACGCGATATTAACTTCAAAATACACCAACGGACAAATGCATAAAACACGAATAATTCAAAAACTAAACAACTTGACAACACCAAACTTGGACAATGGAACACAAATACGGATCGTAAACCACACAGTAAATAAGAAACGGATCCAACAAGCACGAGACGTAATATATGGCCAAAACTGAAATCTCCAATTTATAGCGGGCAATAGTAATAATTATCACGATACAGACACAAACTCCAATATAATTCTTAGCCACGATACAGCACACGAACAAAAACTATACAGAAAGATTCAGCAGCTTCTTACGATCAATTTGATATCTTATTTGATATGATATGGATAAAATTACTAACATAAATTTAAAAAATATACGGAGCCAAAAATCTACACTTGATCTTCTTTTTGGAAGATCAGTACCAGCTTCAGAGACACTGCCAGGAGAAGCCAGCGATGCAATGGTCCCATACCAGTCGTGCTGATTTCACTTGGCCAACTTAGTGCAATATGACCAAGGTTT